TTGAAATCAGATTATGCGTAAATGTATTTGTTCTTCATATGATTATAGCCCTTCTAACTTAGCCAATGCGTGCTTTGAAAAATTCAACTTAATTATCTTAAAGTCCACAGAACTCAGACTATATTTTACATATACATACCCAACCAACTAGTGTGAGAAGAAAGAGTGGTAAAATGTCAGTAAAGTGAACAATCGGAGGTAGAGGAGGTCAAGAACCTGGCAGGTTACACACAAAAGTCATGTTCTTTCAGGCTTGGAGCACTGGTACATTTCTCTTCTGGTATTCTTTAAAGCTGGTGAACTAATATTTTTTCCCACTGCATTTCTTACAGAAAAGAAAGCTAGTCTTTGTGCATTTGGCTTTTGCTTGGTTTTCTTTTGGTTTGCTGTTCTATTTGAAATAAACTCTTGCTGCCCCAAAGGTATGAAAGGAGAACAAATGAGAAAGAGAAAAAGAAAGAATGAGAGATAACATGAAGGGCTGAAAGATGAAAGGGCTACACAAAACAGGTGAACACAGACAGAAATTCTCAGGAAGGTATTTTATGGACACTTGGTCAGTGTGCTTTAAATTACTGTTTCCTTCAGTTTTGTTCTCTAGATAGAATAGTATTTCCCAGAGGGAGCAGGGAGGACAGGACAGGGAGAGGAAGTGATGCTATGTGTACTGAGGGCCTGGGACAACTGCAGGGACTGTGTAGCGAAAGCAGAGACCAGGAGAAATACATTTCCCAGAGATGATCTGTGTCAGGACAACGTGAGGAGCTCTGCTAACCCACTTCTCAGAAAAACTGGCCAAATCCGTAAGAGGACACCAGCACCACCAGCAGCAGCAGCAGCAAAACCTATGCAAATTCAGTGAGGTGTCTCTGACATCCAAACTAAGCCCACTCCAGCCTCCCTCCAAGCTTGAGCTCAGAGAGGCAGATTCCCGCTCCAGAAGGCTGAGAACACAGGATTTCCTTTATCCTCCACTCCCAGCCAGAGGCTTTTCCCTGGAGGAAGCGGTTCTCACCCTGCCCCCAGCTGCCTACTGCTAAGTCTAAGTCCACAGAGCAGGGTCCAGAGGTGGGGGGCTCCTCTCCTCCACCAGTACCCTTTCCCCTCCCCTTCCTGCTGTGTTTCAAGCACTCATCAACTGCCCACTGCCTCCAGTGAGTGCTCTCAGCTCCTGGCCACTGCGCCACATCCAGCTCCCTGGCCCCAGAGATTACAGCTGGGGGGAAGGAGGCTATGGAGCTGCTCCTAATCTCCTCCCAGGAGAACAGACTTCTTCTGCATCAAAGCAGTGGAGGTTGTGGAAAAGAGCAAGAAAGAAGAGATTTTGGTACCCGCATGGACAAGCAGCTCACAGGAGAGAGGCAGGAATAGGGTAGCAGGAAGCAGGCAGGCACTGCTGTACTATGCGGCTGCACTCTGGCACCAGCAGAGTAGTTTACTTATTAGGAGTGAGAGGTCCAGAGAGGCCCCACGAAGGGGTTGGATAAAAGAAAAGAGCCCACCCCACGGTATGCGCTAATTCAAATAACTAAGCCAAGTGTAGAGATGCAAAGGCAAACGCAAGCACAAAAGGACAAAGGGTCGGGATGAGAAAAGAGGGGACGAACTTTCCCCTCCAGGAAGAAGATGCTCATCCCAGGCTGCTGACCATCTACCAGCTTCTCTCCACCTCCAAACTTGGACCTAGACTTGAGAAAACCCTAAAAATACAGATAACCGGTTTCTTTTTAAACTCTTTAAACTCATCTCCTTTAAAACAAGTCCTCACACTCAGCCTATCTATAGAAGGTCTAGACACAAAAAGCATGGTGGACTTTCTCCCTCCTCTTGGGCAGCAACCCACAGCTTTTACTTCATTTTTTTCTAATAAACACACCTAAATTCCTCCTCTCGTCCTCACATTTACTCTTCAAATTTTGAGAGACAAAAAAACTCAGGTTTCTACAAAATTAACTGTCAGTAGGTTGGGTGTCTTAAATGCACTTCTGACAGTGTCAAGGAAAGATGGCTCTCATCAGGCAGTAACTCCATCACAACTTGAAGAATATCTCCACTATCAGACAAAATAGATTTTGAAATAAAAACGATTGTCAGGAATATATTTTAACAACATTAAGCAACACACCATTAAACAACAAATAAGGCAGAAGACATCACAAGAGAAGCAGGGAATACTTTGAGAGGTGATAAAATACACAGAAGCATGTAAGCAGCAGCTGAAGTTGCGCTTGGAGGCAAATGTACAGTTATTAATGTCTATATGTAAAAAAAGAAAAAAGCTTAAATCAATAACCTAAACTCCAACTTTAAGAAACTGGAAGAAGAAAAGGAAAAAAACTAAGTACAATACAGACAGTAATGAGAATGGAAGTTAATGAAACAAAACAGAAAAATAATATAATCAATAAACTGAAATCTGGTTCTTCAGAAACCTTAACAAAATTGACAAATCATTAGCTAACCTTACAAAAGTAAAAAGCATAAACTATGAAAAACTGCATGCAAAAATCAGATAACTTGGATAAAATGGATATAAATTCCTAGAAAAATAAAAACAAAACTAACTTAATGAAAACAATCTAATATGTAGAAATATCTGTAATATGTAGAAACTCAGTACTCAAAAAAAAAATGGCCACAAAGAAAAATCCTGCGCCTACACAGTTTCACGAGTCTTACCAAATAATCAAAAAAATTAGTGAAATACTTAGAAGATTCTTCTAAAAAACAGAAGAGGGAATATTTCCCAACTCTCAATATTTTATGAGGCCTATATTAGTGATACCTAAATTAGACAAAAATATATGCTGAAATTAAGAGTTAATAACCCTTATGAATACACACATAAAAATTATCAATAGTAGCAAAACAATCTCTTTTTGTATGTTATATATTGTTTTTATATGTAAAAAAATTACATATAAAAAAATTACACAGAACAAAGATGGCAGAGGAGAAGCCAGCAGCAAATCACAGCTCCAGGACCTTCACTGACACATCTGGGAAACTACTACTTAGCAAGGACAAAGAGAAGAGCTCTAGGAATCAAGAAAGAGCCAACCTGAAAGAGAAAAATCGGGAAGAAACAGAAGACAATGCACAGGAAAGAACAAAGCAGTGTGGAACATAATCCTGGCCCCCAGGGAAAGGGGGACCTGTCCCTAGAGGCACAAGGGAAGCCTGGAGAGGGTGGCACCCTAGTGACAAACACCAGATGCAGCAGTCCCGGCCCTGGGGAAAAGCCCTAGTTCCTGTAAAGGGCAGACAGTCTGGGGTGGGTAGTCGAAAGTGACTCTCCCCTCAGCAGACTAGCTAAGAGAGGAAACCCTTGGAGGCACACTTAGGAGAGACATAAGCAGCAGCCATTTGGGGATGGGGTTTCTTGTTGAAGACTCAGCTACTCCAGGAATGAGAAGTACACAGTCTCTGGTGGGAAAGGTCTGGAGAGAAGAGGGGTAGTCACAGGTCCCCTCAGATGCTTAACAGAGGGACCTCAGGCAGTATTCCACAGTGAAGAACCTGCCGGTCCTGAGTAGTTTTCTCAGGGGCCGCTTGGCCCTGGAGCCTTCTGCTTCTAGCACAGAACTCAGTGATCTGTTCTTGCTTTTTCCACCTGCCAACTTGCTCAAGGATCTGCCTCAGATTTCTGGAGAAAATAGCATTCTATGCATGGATTTCCCCACTCATCTTGGGATAATGGTTGCTTAACAGAAATGCTTATACACAGGTGCAATTTGCAGGAAGTTCACCCTGGCTTTGGGTCCATAAAAGTATCATTATTCTGATGTGACATCTGACTTGTGTCACAGCAATTGACTGTTGTCTGGAGGGCAAAGACTATCTGCAGTAGAAAGAAAACGTTTTCATTGATAGGGTATCAGTCTTAGAAAATTATTTTAATAATTTTTGGAATGCAAAGGTAGAAAACAAAAATTGCAGAAGGATGTAATTATGTACTCCTTCAACTGTGCTGACTGGCAGTTCTGGCTGTGTGCAACCCAGAGCTGTAACTTCCACTGTCAGCTACTGCATCTGCCACTGAGTTCTGCAGCAGTTTGCCTGCCATCCAGGATACACTGGTATAAGAATTATTTTCTTCACGCTCTAGTCTATCTCTAGTTTACTGTGACAGACGTGAAATGAAAAGTAGAGTTTATCACACTTCTGGTGATATTTTAAAATTTAGTAACTAATGATTAAAAATAAATACATTACTTTCATGTTTGGTACAAGCTCATGCTAAGTAATCATAAATTGAAAATGTCGGGCCAGGGATTTAGCTCAGTGGTCTGGTGGCCTGCCTTGCAAGCGCAAAGACCCGAGTTCAATCCCT